GCAAAAAAAAAAAAAATTGACAGGCTAAAGCGTTCCCCGAATGAGAGCCCCCAAATGGCCAAAGTTGCAACAATTTGAGCAACAAAATAAATACAGAGGATTGAAATATAACCCGGAGTATAAAATACACATCCATGAGTCCACACTGATACAAATATGTGAATAAATAAAGAATTGTGGGAAAAGAGGCAAATCTCTCATGCAAAAGAATTTCAAATAATTCATGTAGCTAAACCTCCCTCAAGGAGAAGAAGCCTTTGGTGTGGGTTGGACACAGTGACATACTTCCAGAGAATACAGTCTAGAAAGGGGACAAAAGAATAACTTTACGGTGGAGAAATCTAACAAAAACCTCCTCAGCCAGGAGATCAAGGCTAACATCAACAGCGAGAAGTCACATTGGTAATATGCTCCCTGATTTTACATGGCGGAAATGGATGTTATGTAATGAAAATAGCATTTTACCTCTGTGGTCTTCCTCCCCAAAATACATAACCACATTGTAATGATGAGAAAGCCACAGACAAGTTGCAATGGAAGGACTTTCTACAAAAATATAATAACTGACCAGTACTCCTCAAAACTGTCCAAGTCACCAAAAACAAGGGAAGTCTGAGAACCTGTCACAGCCAGGAGGAGCCTAAGGAAATGTGATGACTAAATGCAATGTGTTATCGGGCATAAGATTCTAGAACAGAAAACAAAAACAAAAACACTAGGTAACAACTAAGGAGATCTGAATAAAGTATGGACTGTAGATAATCATAATACAAGCACATCATCTGACCTGCAGATCTGCACATGGAGGAAGGTGAAGTACTAACTGATTCTTCCCCCTCTGCTCCCCTGGGCTCTAGCCCCGCCCCCTGACCTTCCTCTTCACCTTCTTGGTCCTGCTGGGAAGTGTCCAGTCAATGAGACAATGTAAAAGTGAATAAAGGTAAAACCAGGTTAAATGATAAGCACCAAGCGATGAGATATAATAATTAGGTAAAAGGTGTGAAGGGACAGAGCTGATGCTGAGCTCCTGCCTCAAACACTAGCTCTCACTGAGGGGCCAGTGAAGGAGTGTGACACGCAGGTGCCTCCGCCTCAAGGGCTAGGACTGGGGACAGCTCTATTAAACAAGGGGTTACCCTTGTGAAAAAAAAAACAGCTTTGCAAATCTCTTCCAATAACAGGAAAATGCATGGCATTTATGATCAAGCAAAAGATCAGAAACAACTCATAGGAAAAAGATCAGTACAATCATAGGAAATTGTTTAAGTTCTGGTACATGCTTAAAATATACTATTGTGAGACTATGGGAAAACAATACATTTGACTATTCATAAAAATAGAGGTTCGTGCGATACTGTTAAATGGAAAAAGCAGTGTATATGATCTAACCTCATTACTATAAAAGTGTAAATATGTGCACAGAAAAACCTGTAAGAACATACACTGAAACCATAGCAGTGATTATCTCTGAGTAGTATAAACATGGCTATTCTGTTTCTTTTTGGTTGTTTACACTTTCTAATTTTTCTGTGATAATCAGGTTTTAGAGATGCACCTTTTTACAAGGAAACGTACTACTAAAAACGTCTTCCACAGAATCATATATCAGAGCTATTCTACAAAACCATACATTACAGAAAGTCAGTAAAACCAAGTTTACATTGGGCTTTCATAGTAGACCTCTCAGAGAGTGTATAGCTGAGTATACATTTGACAGCCTATAGATTAATTATTCATTCATTGACTTCTTAGAGCACCTACTGTATCCTGCTGACGTAGCCATGAACAAAACAAGCAGAAACCCCTACTCTCCAAGGGGCTTCCATTCTAGGAATTCCATGAAGCTTGTGCTTGCTTACAGAAGAAAAACGTGTTCAAGCATAATAAGTGATGCTATTCCTACAAGCTCCACAGTTCCCACACCAACTTTGCCTTTTGAGTTAAGCTTACAGGTAGTGAAGACTCCTGGCAAATGGTCCTGTAGGGACATAATGATATATATGCAGAAGAACAGAGATTTTTAAGATCTCAGAGCGCTTAATTCTGTTTCTTGGGTGTAAACAAGGGATTGCAACACAAAACACTCTATGAACAAACCTAAAAACAGTCCTGTTCCCTGGAGAATGGGGTAGAGCTGGGAGAGGTCTGTAGGTGCAAAGCTGACTGTTGCCATCGCCTGGACTAGCTGAATTACTGTCTTCCAGTCACAGTCCCTCTCCATATTCATTCTATTTTTGCTGCTCAGCATGACCCCAGCCAAAGTATTATTGAATTTCCCACTTCTCAGCATGAAGAAACATTTACCGTTTGCTGGAATTCTGATTGTCAGAACAAAAACTCTCCTTGCCACTGGAGTCACCGCAAATGGAGTTGAACCGCTGATAGAGATCAGACCCCCACCGAGACTGTGGAAACGCTTATACGCCTGCTGTCACCCTCACTCAAAATGGGGGAGAAAAGGAAAATTCTTAGAGTGCTGTTTTGTATGCACTGGTTGCCTTTCTCTTCTGCAGGGGAACATGATTTGATGACAGGGCAAAAGAGCAGAGCCAAAAATGAGGGTGCCATCTTGATTTAATGGGGACCTACCTCCTGGGATGCTGGCATGGCCGCCTTCATTCATCTTCTGGCTACTCCTGAGATATGCCCTGAAGGGGGTCTTACCCTTGCCTTTTCATTGACTGGGTACTTCCCATAGCAGACTCCAAGTAGTAGTGTTACAATCCTGCCCCACTCCCACTCGCACCCCCACCCCCACCCCTGGAAAGAAGAACCAGACCGGAGACAGAACCCCCTCCCATCTGTATGCTGCATTATCGGCAAGCTGCACGCTTTCCGCTTGGGAACACAGTCACAAAGTCTGCTCTCGTCTCTTGGAGCAGTTTACTTGGAGAAAAGGATCTAATTAGCTAATGAAGACTTGACAAAGGCACATGTTTTTACATAGAACGTGCACTTGGGAAAGTCATTATATGTATTACTTTCAAATGTGCTTAGGAAAAGAAAAGTTCAAGACAAAAATTGATACATATCATCCTTTATTTTACAATTACATGCAAAGTTTGTTTTTCCTAAAAATGATGCTCTTTTAGGAGTTTTAATCTTTATTTCTTTAAATCTTTTTTTTTTCATAAACACCACAATTCCT